TGTGTGTGTGTGTGTGTGTGTGTGTGTGTATGTGTGTGTGTGTATACAATGTGTGTGTGTGTATGCTACTTGAAGAGCTATAGACAGTTGTAAGCCTGTGTGGGTTTTGGGAACTGGACCTGGGTCCTCTGTAACAACAGAGTGCTCTTAAACACTGAGCCATCTCTCCAGCCCTCTGCTTCATGAAGCTGGGTCTGAAGCTCACTGATTCAGCTATACTGACTAGCCAAGGAGCCCCTGCAATCCTTCTGTTTTCACCACCCCAATCCTGGGGTTGCAGGCATGCAGCACCATGCCTGGCTTTTTGTGCGGGTGCTGAGAACCCAAACTCAGGTCCTCATGTTTTTTTACCAACTTTACCAACTGAGCTGTCTCCCCAGCCCCATATGTCATCCTCTTGAAACCCAAATATCATTCATAAATGGGAAGTCCCTTATACCAATAGCATCCAACAGGAACAAGTAAAAGGAGCTGTTACCATGTCAATAATTTTGAGGTGTCCATAGGCAAACACGATGGCATTAGGCGGGGTGGCCACAGGCAACATGAAGGCAAGTGATGCACTCATGGTACAGGGAATCATGACGTACAGCGGATGGATGCCGATGGAACGAGACTGGAGAGACACACAACACCGCAACTCACAGCACAGGACACACAGAAGCTGGCCATACTTCAGAAGCATCTCCTGAGGCCTGGGTTACACTCCAACCTTCACAACTGTGTCTGGCTAGTCCCTCTGAACTTTATACTTCTCTACATGATAACTACTGACCACAAAAGACTGAGCTCAGAGGCTACCTGCCCTGGAAGCCCTTTTGGAGCCCCTCAATTTAGTTCATATGTGTTATGGGAGGGGGCAACACTTGAGCTGCGAGCCAGAGGCCATGCTGGACTTCCTCTAGACTGCACTGAATATTAAAATTGGCCTTGAACCGTCTGCCTGCCTTGTCACAGACAGAGGCAGTCTGAAGAACTGGATTCAGGCCCTCTCGCCTGCAAGTACTTCCATAGGACCGCTTCATGTTGGGAACCCAGTACTCACCTTTTTCATTTCACATTTTAAAATGTACATCTACTAGCACAGAGTTGGCATTTGCCATGTATTCAGTGAATAAAGAAATAACACAATTTTAACATCTATCCAAGGGACTCTTTATCAGGTATATTTCCATGGGCAAACACATCTACAGAGATTTCACTGTAATGATTTACCATCAGCACACAGGAGACTGGCCCAATGACCAGCAGCTTTGCAATGGTGTATGCAAATAGTGCCACTCAGTTTAATGCCCACCGCTTTTCACTTTCCACATGTGAATGTTCAGGCGGGAACATGAAGGGCTTTAATGATAGTTCCAGGCAATTTACTCTGAAATTTTGCCTCTAGAAGATTTTATTTATTTTTCCTTTGTGTATATGAGTGTTTGCCTGAATGTATGTCTGTGCATCGTGTGTGCGCAGTGCCTGAGGATGCCGGAAGAGGGTGTTGGATCCCCTGGGACTAGAGTTACAGATGGTTGTGAGCCTCCATGTGGGTTCTGGGAACTGAACCTGGGACCTCTGGAAGAACAATCAATGCTCTTAACCACTGATCTATCTTTCCAGCCCCATAGAAGAGCTTATTTTCAAAGGGCCCAGCTACCTCCT